TATAGTGTGTCCCAAGGAGAGGGTGAACCAAGGGCCAGGCTCTCCCAAGGGGAACAGAGGAACAACACCAGGGTGAGGGTGACATCCAGGCTTCTCTCCAAGTTACAGCCCCAGGAGAGCTGGCTGGGAGCCTGAGTGAGCACGAGCTTCAAGGCTCGTGGTGGAAAATAGGGAGTTTCAGCATTTTGTGTCAGCATACAGCCCACTGCTGGCTGCTGCCCCGGCCAGCCCTGGCACCTCCTGCACCCACGTGTCGGCAGAGCCAAGGCCTTGTTGGAGGGAACAAGGAGGAAGAGACAGATGGTCCCTGGCAGGATGAGATTAGCCCAGGTTTGCGTAATTTATTTCGTCCCTAAGGTGTTACTCTGCATTTCATATTCTCCTCTTCCATTTACTCTGCTCCCCTCCCTCCATTAGCTCCCTTGCATCCTCCTCAAGTCCTGGGAGGAAGGTCAGTGTCTCTCCCATGCTCATGATGGGTTCCATGCTACCAAACTGCATCCCTGGACACCAAGCCGGGGTGGGACAGCTTCGTTCAGGAGGGAGCATCCCCTCCCATGCTGCTCCCTGCTGCGCTGCTCAGCACACACACCCACATGTGGGCAGCCAGCTCGCGCATCCCAAAGGATCGACCTGCTGGAGATGGAGCTGCAGGAACCAGGTTATGAGCAAGCTCAGGGATGTTCTTAAAACAGTAAGAGACAGAGAGAGACAGAGATCTGCCAGCAGCTCTAATATGAATCCAGCAGAGGAAATGAAAAGCAGAAACCTGCAGAGCTGGGACTCTCCGCAGCCAGGGAGGGGGATCTGCCATACCTGCAGCCAGCACTGCCCTGCCGTGAGGGGACGGGAGTGCTGAAGAAGCCACGTGCCCTCAGGAGGGCGTGTGATGCCCCAGCCATACACCCGTACAGCAGTACAGCAGCAGCAAGCCATAAGCTTGTTCCATTTTAGCTCTCCAGGGTGTTTTTCCTAGTGCCATAACACTATTTCACATGCAGGACGAGGTGCTTTGCTACCAGACACAAGGTCATCCCCATGCCTGCCAAACACAGCCCCCCCACCCCCTCTCTCTGTCTGCCCTCAGGACATTTAGCTAATGCCAGCACAGATCTGATGAAGCTGGACCACGAAGAGGAGCCACAGCTATCAGAGCCCTACCTCTCCAAGCAGAAGAAGCTCATGGTAAGTGGGTCAAAGCCCCAGACATCTCTTTGGTGGTGGGGGTACATGACCCATGGACCCTTCCTTGGACACCTGGTGCCTTATGTCCCTGCACAGTTGCAAGGATGCATGTCCATCCATCCGTCCGTCCCCCATCCTAATCCCACTCTCCACCCAGGCCAAGATCCTGGAGCATGACAATGTGAACTACTTGAAGAAGATCCTTGGTGAACTGGGAATGGTGCTAGATCAGATCGAGGCTGAGCTGGAGAAGAGGAAACTGGAGTACCAAGGTAGGCACTGGGCTGTGTTTATGGGGTGTTTTTCCATACAAGGCTGAGGTGCAACACCAGGAATGGCTGATGGCTTTGTACCTAATGAATGTCTCCCCATGAGGCAACCACCAGTGGGGCTGGGGCAGCCGCTGGGTTCTCCTGGTTTTGGGTACACTGATGTCATGGCAACCACGGTCTTACTAACCTCCAGCAAACCACCCCTGCTCCAGGGAGCCCCCAAACCCCTTACCACAGGGGCAGCAGGACCCCTGTCTTCACGGCTGCTTTGTGGGAGCTCTAAAGTCATCACAAGGTGGTGGCAGGTCCCCTCCACGCCAGCGAGGGGCCACCCGTGACTGATGTCCTGGCTGATTCAGGAAGGAGTGGGCTGGTCTTGGGCTCTCTCACCACGAGGAGCACAGACTGCTGAAAGCACAGGACTGGGGACGTGTCCTGCAGCCAAGCCCCCGCTGGCCACGGGGCTGCAGCACATC